AAATCAAGATATTCTTTTTCAAGATCTTGGCACTCTTCACTTTTCAATGAGTGCATAGTCGAGGTTGTATAGAACCAGACCAGTGGTACGCTGGGGAATCCCCAGCGGGAGGTCGTAGTTGGTCACTGAAGGAAGGGCTTGTATCCGCCTTCGAGAGAAATTTCCGGCGTTGGGGAGAAAATCCCACCTCCCTAGTTAGTGGCGCCGCCAAAGTTCTACACAAGTACTATTTCTGATAGGTTTCTAGCTGGAAATAGTAGTTGGTTGTTGATGACCACCCCATTTCCCGTCCTCCCCGCTCGAATTAGAGCAGAATTTTTTTCTCGGAAATTTCATAGCAAAGAAGCTATGAAATTTCCGAGAAATCACGAATAAAAAAAATCGTAAATTTTACTATCTAGAAAAGAGGTAGGAAGGATGGTGAATGGAGAGGGGGGGGGGTCGTATGAGAGGAGGGAATTAGGGGGAGTAGTAGTAGTACCCGAAGATTTGCTCCAGCGGCAAGACGTGCCCTGGTACTCTCACAAGGAGGTTGTCAGAGGAGGTTTTATGAGAACGGAAACAGCGCCACGCGCGGCCGCGAGGCGGTTATGCCAGTGGTTCTGAGTGCTCTGCTTTCTGTGGAACAAGCCTTTCTTACACTATAAACGTGAGCGCTATAAATGTTCCACAAATTGTTCCAAAATGGGTACTGGGCAGATTACAAGTCACCAGCAAAGACACCATTACCGCGGCCTGAATCCCGTAGAATAGGGGGCATAAAAAGCGAAATCAAAGAAAAGGGTCTCCCAAGTAAATCAAATTTCGGAACATAAAGGCAGGGCAGACGGTGGTTGGGGGCATGCGGTTCCTGCCGACGTCATTGGTGGAAGGGAGGAGAAGGGTGTGGCCAAACGCCCTGTTTGCAGCCCTTCCACCAATGACCTTGGCAGCATCCGACCGCCCCCAGCCCTCGTGTTATGTGCCTTTAATGCACTTCTTTCCACAGTGACCAAGTTCATGTGAAAATAAAAATGAAACCTCAAGAACTGATCCAAACAACACACCCCAATCTTCATCGTTGGCCGGATCGCTACCTTCACTGAGAATATCATCGACAATACTGGACGAGAATGGATGCGCCGATCGTTCCAAAACTGATTGATATCCGGAATCTTGCAGGAACTCAGCCCCCTTTAAAGCAGTCTGAAATGAATATCGGCTTTCAAAGCATTATGATTTGAACTGCTTCCGAGTAAACTTACATTCAAATCTTTGAGATCGTAGTCCATGTCATAGAAGAAGACTGGAGCTTCTATGAAATCGTCACTAACATTCGGTACAGCAGAACTGGAACAGTAAATGACTAAGAAAACGATCGGAGGGATAACGGTGGGTAATTAGAAGAGCAATCGACGATCTGGTTACTGCAGTGAACAACACGACATAACAATATTCTCATGTAAGCTTGTCTTTCCATCACCAATAAAAAAGCGCAAAAATAAAAATACAGTAATTTTAC